GGCAATGAACATTATAAGTTGTGTTGTACTTTACAAAGTTGAATAGGCTGTGGAATAAGTGTGCATCTTTTGCACATCTACCTTTATATGGATGTGACAGATCCAAGGAGTTACTTGAGATGGACTCTCGCAATAAATTGATGCATTTTCTCATGGGGTTATGTGATTCTATGAGTAGTCAAATCCTTCTTATGGATCAATTGTCAAATGTGAACAAGACATATTCTCTCAATTTGCAAAAAGATAGAAAGAGAAGTATGCATGTTATGTACCCAGGTTCTACCGATACAGTTGTCATGGTTGTGAGGCACGGAGAGGACTATGGAAATAAAGGGAGAAGAAATGGGCCAGGGGAAGGGGTCAAGGTTGGAACGTAGGAAGAGGTCGATGTTCCACACCTGGGAGGTCTTTTGAGGAGAGAGCACAACTTGTTTGTGAACATTCTGGTTACAGTGGTCATGAAAAGAAAGAATACTTTAAACTTCATAGATATCTTGACTGGTATAAAGAACTGAAGCACAAAAACAATAAGGCATATGCTAATCAAGTGGAGAATGCAGAGAGTTTACCAAAGGGTATAGATATGGCAAGTAAGGCATAGGAGTTGATGAAGTTTAGAGAAGGCAAACACAAGACTGGGTATGATTCATTATTAGAATGAGTTTACTTTGATAAAAATATTTATGATCTTGATTTTTATTTTGCGTTCTAAATGTTTTGTTTGCGTGTACACTGAAAGCTCGACTTTTTGTTGACATAATTTCTGTTTGAATGTTAATCGTGTTTAATTAAATGGGTCAACATTTTAATGTTTAAAATTTGGATAATATGGTTTATCACAGATGGAAAGAATATCATATTATTGGTTACTTATATAATATAATTTTTTGTTCACAATCTAGATGAAACTGGACAACGCACCACGAACGATTGTAGTGTTAATTTTGCATTCTACCATGACTGATTGATTGCACTAGTATACATTGTGTGTATTGAACAGAACCCACGGTAGATAAGTTTATTTTATACTGACCAAGTAAATAAACTATATCTCAGTAATTACTGCATACTATCAACCCTAAGATAACAAAAAAGCATGCGCACTCAATAGTTAAAACTTTGATTCACTGAAAAGTCAAATCCATTCTGCTAGGTCAATACATTTACGTGTTTTGGGTAGTAGTGTTGTGTGTATGGTATGATGTTCAAATTATATATGATGTTTTGTTAGGATATTTACGGTCACCATGTACGTTTAGTTTGATGGTGTCCCCGGAGTGAGTTCATGAAGGATTATTATGCTAAACCCTGCAGGTGGATTAAATTTCGGTATAGTAACAATGTGATGAACGAGCGCTAGGTTCGGTGAAATAATAATAAATTAATTAATTCTTGATTAACAGTAATGAAATTAGTTAATGGACATTATATCTTAAACATGTGGAGATATATCGAGTAATTATTATTGGAGTCTCAATTGTAAATTGGGCTAGAAAAAGGGAGTGCAATAATATTATGTTAGTGACCCATAATATTGTTTAGTTAATTAGAGGAGTGTGTTTGGCCCACAGTTAGTCTAATTAATTAAGGAGTCATATTTCTAATCTCCTAAGGGTCCCTATTGCAGCTATATATATACATCATTAGGCAGAAAGAAAAGAAAAAAAACAAATCATAATTCTCCTACGCGTAAGTACATAAAGTCGCGCGCCTCTCTCTTTCCCTAGATTTCTGTTCGAGCTTTATCTTCTTCTTGTTGTTCCATACAAGTTGAAAAGGTGTAAGAGTAATACAGTAGAAGATCCAAATGGGAGAATAGCGAGCAGCACGGGGATAAGACGAGCAATCCGAAGTGGGAGAAGACGAGCAATCGGAAGTGGGAGAATAAGACGAGCAATCGGAAGTGGGAGAATAGCGAGCAGCACGGGGATTGGTGAAGAGGCTAAGTTTTGTGATGCTATTGTTGTATTGAGCTGTGAAGCGTTTAGACTCGGGTCGAGGGCTTGTTCTCCTTGTGATAAAGAGATCACGGACACTTGCGATGAGCCGTTGGATTTGAATATCAGCTTTGATGTTGATGATGAAGATCATGGTGTTGTGGACCAGTCAGTTGGTGATCATTTAGGGATTCTTGAGGGTGTTGTTGATAGAAGTGTAGTGTTTAAATCCAAAAATTGTAGTCTTTTTTTGTTAGTGGTGAGTAGGAGGGCCAAAACTATCAAAAACCCTTTGTAAACTTTGTTTCTTGTCTAACATGCACTAATCAGAGCTCCACGTTTTATGGCCCTTTTTTTAAGAAAAAAAAAATGAAAACAAGTCATCTTTGTGGAAAAAATGAATAGTGGCTATTTTATGGGGTAAAAAGATAATGTTACTCTTATTAATGTTTTAGCTACCAAAAGAAAAAGAAAAAGATATATTCTGACTTCGTCACTCCATCGGTCCCCCATTCATCTCCATTGGCCCCTTCTCCATCTCCACGCGCTAGCCACCATTGCTGTAAAAAAGAAATAATTTATTGAACAAAAACAGTTTCTTGAACAAGAAAGAACAAGAAATAGTTTCTTGTTCAACAAACTGTTTTTTGAACAAGAAACAGTTTTAGCTCAACAAACTGTGTCTTGTATTCGTATATTTTATGTCCAGAAAGACGTTAAGGAAAATTAAGTTGAAGAAACACATTTTAAAATGTACATCATTGCCAACCGCCTGCCGCGCATCCTGGGGGAACTTCTCCTCCACATCAACTTCTTCATCAACCGCCTAAGAGCTTTTTGGAATAAAAAATATTAATTTTAGGATAACAAAATTTTAATTCTGGAAATATTGATAAATTTACAAATGTCAAAAGGAACATTCTGAAAGGCACATATTTTCCAAATTGTTCCATTTTTTAAGCTGTTAAATCTCAGAACAGTTCCTCGTTGTGGAGCAATTGGTTGCAAGCCATGCCTACCTTTTCCAGAGGTTTTATAACTGAAATCAGAAATTGGGAAACTACTAGATTGAATGATGTCAACTGGGTGCCAAATTTGTTGAAGCTTAAACCCTCATTACTGGATAATGAAAGAGGGCACATTACATTTGTTAAGGAGCTGCTGAATGCATCTGGTGATGGCTGGAACTCTTGGCTCGTTACACAGTTGTTTGAAGCAGAGGACAAAAGAGTAATCTTGAACATCAAAACTTTGAAACCTGGGCAGGCTGACAGGAAGTTGTGGTTGTTTGATAAAAAAAAAAAAATGTACTTTTTTTGTTTCGAGTACTTATGCATTTCTGGCCAAGCAAAAATTTTTAGCTCTTGATCTACCTTAGAGTAGTGGTCTGTCAGGGAGAAATTTTAGTTTTGGAATTCACATGTATTGGAAATTAAAAGTGGTCGGGATAATTAAACACTTTATCTGAAAGTGTTTTAGTGGTACCTTACCAGTTAAAACCAACTTGAGACGAAAAGGGATTGATTTGGATGTGATTTGCCAATGTTGTGGGCAAGCCTCTGAAATAATAGAGCATCTTTTCTTCCATTTCGCTCAAGCTCAGACTTTGTGGGATATATCACTTGTCAAGTGGGATGGATTGGCAAATTCTTCCTCGTCTTTTAGAAGCTGGTGAAATCACTTATGCTCAATAGATAAATCTGAAGTTGCTGAAGCTCGTATACAATTGACAACATATATGCTTTGGTGGCTTTAGAAATCTCGGAACCTCTGGATTTTTCAAAGAATCAAAATTCCAATTTATTTGCTTGTGAAGAAGGCTGTTAAGGACTGGCTTGCTTATGGTGCAGTTATGTAATATCTAGCTTGTGTCCTGTTTTCTCTTCCCTGATTCTTTTTTTTTTTTTTTTTTTTTTTTTTTTTTTTTTTTT